GCTTCCTGAGCCCAGATCTAGAAACTTCCTGAAGACATCCACACTTTGCTTCATGGCTACAAGCATGCTCTAAAAGCAGCAAGCTGAAACTTTCACATCTTATAAGGGTAGAAAAGAGTGAAATTATTCAAATTACTTAATATTTGAGCTCAGGGTCTTTAATCAAATAACCTCAATGTCTTCCTCTACCTGTTTCCTTCCTCTACCCTATGTCTATACCAAATTGACTTGTTGGCCTACAAACCCAGTTAAAAGGAAGTCCCACTGATTGCTTAAAGTATCTGTTTTTATGAACAACAACAACAAAAATAACACATCCTGTTGAATTATTACCTCTCAAGGCAAAAGGGACTCTGAAAATGTGATTAAAGCACTGACTTGGAGCTGGAAACAGCTTGCATCCACCAAAGATTCATAGTGGCACTAGACTTATGCAGTTGAATTAATCAGTATGAAAGATAGCTATGTTGTAATAAAGACAACACAAAATAAATGGTAATTGGAATATGTCTAGTTTTTCTTAACAGCAGAACCATGAATTTAAAGTATATGTTCACACTGAGGTGTGTGTTCATAATGAGTTTTATTTCCACTGTTTGTAAGGAATGTCCTATTGCATATTTATACTGGCTCCAAATTATAATCTGTTACTCTTTTTTAGTTAATGGCCTTTTTTCTTTTCAATCTAAAATAACCTCAGATGAAAACTATAATATTAAACTTTCTATGCCCAAACTAACCAGAGAAATTGCAAAATACCATATTGGTGCTAGGTTTTATGAGTGAAGCAAAATTGTTTTTGCATATATAACATCCAAATAAGTGTTTAAAAGATCCATAAAAGTGTATGACTCATTAATCTGAAAGATAAAATACTTATATACATGATAAGATTATATGAGAGTTTATGACTAAATGACTTAACAGAAAGTATTACACACGATAACATTGCAAGTTCCTGAAGTTTGATCTGAGACTAGGAAAGACTAGGAAAATGGGGCTATGATAATATTTTAAGATAGTAAAAGATTCAAATCATTTCTCATGTAATTTTTTTTTGTAATATTAGGGTTTGAACTCTGGGCCTTAAGCTTGTTAGGCTGGTGCTCTACCACTTCAGCCACATCTCCATCCCAGTCTTCGATGGTTATTTTTGAGATGTAATCTACCAAACTTTTGTGCTTCAACTGGCCACAAACTTTGATCCTCCAAATCTCAGCCTCCTTGGTAGTTAGGATAACCGGTGATAGCCACTGGAGCTTGCTTCATGTGAACTTTTCTAAGGAAAATATTAGAGGAAATACTTGACAAAAATGAGGAAGTAAACTAAGAAAGGTTCTCAAGTGGTAAAGCCAGGACTGCTATACAAGAGAGGGCTGGAATTTCAGTGTAACAACTAGAACTAGGATCACTAGCACAGACTGGGGCAAAACCAATGGAGGACACATGATGACCCATTGCAACAATGATACCCAATGAGCTTTACAACTTGGTGGTAGGGGGAGGGAACAGGGGGAGGGAAAGGGACAATGGGAGAACAACAAAGGAGGGGGTAATAATGCTCCACAAGAAATGTACTCATTACCTTACTCATGTACAAGAAATGTACTCATTATCTTACTCATGTAACTGTAACCCCTCTGTACAGCATCTTTACAATAAAATAAAATAATGGAGATGGTTCTAATCAAAAAAGGAAAGTGAAAGAATGTCTCTTGATATCTCATTTGATATATGTTAGAGGTACTAGATCCATTGTTGTATGTAGAATACAGTAATAGTACATTAGATGCAATACCAAGAAGAATAATGCCAATTAACTTAGAGCCAAAAAAAAAAAAAAAAGGAAATGCCATGTTTCTGTTTCAGTAGTGAACAAAAACTACATACCAGCTAACTTAGTCAAACATCCTTACAAACTACTGGGAGAATGCATTTATGATATCATGTTAAGAGACTAAGTACTCAGCTACCGTAACTCAGAAGATAACATTTATACTACTTTATTGTAAAGAAAGAGGAAAGTAAGTTCAGATAAAGTTAAAAAACTTGGGAGCACTGCCTTTAAAGAGTGAGAAGAGATGGAATGAGGGTGTGGGGAAGTAGAGGACATCTCAGTATGAACATATACTTTAAATTTGTGGGTGCCGCAGATAAAAACTAGTCCTGTTCCAAACATAGTTGATATCATGTTGTCTTTATTAGAGTAAAGCTATCTTTCATGCTGATTATTCAATTGCATAAGCCTAGTGCCAATATGAATTTTTGGTGGATGCAAGCTGTTTCCAGCTCTAAGTCAGTGCTTTAATCATAAATCTTGAAAAAACCATGGGGTATAGTGTCTGCTTAAAAATTAAAGAAAAATCAAGACTTTGAGGCTATATGCCAGGGTCTGGTAGATTAGGCAATGAGGTCATTATTATTCACTCACATAAGTACCAAGCAGGGCTGGGAATGTGGCTTAGTGGTAGAGTGCTTGCCTAGCATGAATGAAGCTCTGGGTTCAATTCCTCAGTACCACATAAACAGAAAAGGCTGGAGGTGGTGCTGTAGCTCCAAATGGTAGAGTGCTAGCCCTGAGCAAAAGAAGCTCAGGGACAGTGCCTGGGCCCCAAGTTCAAGCCCCAGGACTGGCAAATAAATAGTATCAAGCAACTATTCATTCTGACGCAGGCATTAAGCTAGATATTAGGAATACAAAAGCAAATGAAGATATGAAGATATGTAAGTTCCCTGTCCCCATGGAGCATGTACCTACTACAGAAATAGAAAATGAGCAAAATAAATAAAAAGAAGTAGAGATTTGGGCTGGGATGTAGCTCAATGGCAAAGCGCTTGCCTAGCAAGTGTAACGTCCTGGGTTCGATCCCCAGTACCAAAAAAAAAAAAAAAGACAAAAAAAAGTAGAGATTGTAGTATAATAACTGCTGTGATAGAGAATGAAAGTGTGGAGAAGACTGGATAGCTTGAAACCAAAACTGAGGCAGGGAAGTTTGGTACGTGTAGAAAATGTAAAAAATTCATTTGTAGGATGATTGCCCAAAATGAAGTTAGTATTTTAATTAAAGGAGAGACAAGGGCAGGCCAAAAAACAAACACATACACACAAAAAGAGGGAAAAGAAGGAGAAGAGAGGGAAGGAAGGGGATTAGAAAAGTAGCAGGAGCCTGTCTCACACCTGTAACCCTAGCTACTTAGGAAGTTGAGATCTCAAGATTCCGGTTCCAAGCCAGCCCAGACAGAAAAGTCCCCATGAGACTCATCTTCAATTAACCACTCAAAAACCAGAAGTGGAGCTGTGGTTGCTCAAAGTGGTAGAGCGCTAGCCTTGAGCAAAAGAGCTTAGGAACAGCCCCTAGGCCCTGAGTTCAAGCCCACTTATGACCTCCGGAGAGCAAGACAACTACCCAGGCACAGACAGTGAAAGGTGGACAAAAGAAGTTTATTTATACTATTTACACCAGAAAAGGGACTTGAGACTACCTTGTCCTGGGCTACATATCCAGAACCAAGAGCAGCCTCAACCACCAAACCTCCAATAGGCAGTCCTGATCGCCCCCCCTTCCATTTTATTAGCTGATCTGCAAACCACCAAACCTCAGACCTCCAAAGGGGAAGGCTTTTCCCTTTCTGCCCTCCCTTCTCCTCTGCAGGCCTCTCCAATCTCCTCAGGCCTCCTCTGCTCTCATCTGGGAGGCGCCTCTCCACTAACCTCTCTAGAGGAAGGTCCTAAATGGCCTCCCAAAAGGCCTGTCCTCCACAGCCCTGCCCTGCTCTGGCAAGCTTTCCCCTCCTGCCGTCCTTCCCTCCACTCCTACTACTCTCTGTACTCAAGGTTTCCTCCCTAACCTCCCTCTAACCTCTCCTCTCCTCAGGAGTCCAAGTGTCCTCTGGATTCCTCTCCTCCCTCTAGACTGTCCCAAATGTTTTCGGCTAACCTCTCCTCAGGACTGTGGGCTTTCTCCTACTCCCCCCTGTACCCAGAAAGGCTGCGCCCTTCCCCCACCAATGGTTTCAAACCGCCACTCGAGCTTAAGCTATTGATTATGGGGGGGGGGTTGGGGGCCCTATGAGGTCATTACAGCCCCATTAACTGACAAGAAAATAAGGAAAGAAAGGAAGGGAGGAGGAGGAGGAGTAAATAGCAGGAGTCTCATCTCTCTGGGTATGAATTTGGAGTGTCCTCAAATACAGCTAATCTTTAATATACTTTTTTTTTTTCCAGAAAGTGTGCAAAAGTTACTAAGAGTTAACCATCTAGAAAAGTCCCAACATGTTAAAAGAGTTCAGTTCAGGCGGGGCCTGTAAGTTAAGAAGACCACGAAGACACACTTTCCCAGCAGTTATCTTCTGAGTTGTCACTCATCTAATAACATGGCCCCGCGGCTCCTGTTTATCTTGGAAATTAAGGTGCACTGAAATAGGGTTCCCAGACTCTTTTTTTTTGGGGGGGGGAGTCACTTTGCAGAAATACCCGCAGATGATCCCCTGCATCCCAGACGGATGTCTATCCCCCATGCCCACTGTCAACCACACCACCGTTAAGCCCGGGATCTGCGGGAGTCCCAGCCACGAGGGGGTTCCCCCACGGGCTTCACCTGGGCCAGGATTTTAGCTGAGATGCTCAGTCCTCCCCCCCATGTTTCCCACCACGTCCGGCCTGGTGGTCTGAGTGCCGTAAGCCGAGCTCGGGGTCGTGGACCGAAGAGTCGCATCCGGGTACTGGTGGTGGAGGGGGAGGCTTTGAGGCCTACGGGAAGCCTCAGGCTCGCTAATCATGGCCGCAGGCGGCAAGGCCTCAGGTCAGGTTGACGCCAGGCCTGAACACGCGAGGCCCGCCCTTAACCCGAAGGGGAAAGGAGGGGGGGGAGCGGAAACGGAAAGGCGGGAGCAGCGGAGGCCGCACGTGAAGCCCGCGAGGCGCGGGGCAGCCACGCGCCGCCGCCGCCGCCGCCAACGGAAAGTAGTGCTTCCGGGGTCACCTGGTGGGTGGGGTCGGGGAACGCGCCGTTAGGGTCAGGCTCGCCGGCCGGGAGCCATGAGTTCCTTCCGCCAGCGCGCCGCCGCGTTCCGCTCTCATTTACTGCTCGCTCGACTCCGCTCGGTGTTGAAGGAAGCGTTGAGACTGTCTGAGACCGCGCTGCCGGCCGACCCCCACCAGCTTGGGGCGCCCCAAGCCAGAGGTGCCCACGCGCGGACCCAGGGAAGCCCAGTCCCAGGTCGCGCCGGCCGCGGGGGGGGGGCGGGGGGCGACGTCGGAGGACGTCAGGTGGGAGGAAAATCCCCCCTCCCACCCCGCCGCACGCAGCGCGGGAAACGGCCCGCCGGGGGAGCGGGCGAGTCCATTTGAGTCCCTGCTTACGGGGGGGGGGGAGAGGTGTCATTTTCTTTCATGGGGGTGGGGAGGGAAATCGTGGAAGATGGTTTCCGTTAACCCGGAGCTCCGAGTGTTGGACTCGGGGTTGTTTCCGCGGAGGCTCAGCTCGCCTTTCCGACCAAGGTTCGGGCTCCAGCATGGAGTTCTCCCCGCTCCCCCCCGGCCCTCCCAGAGCGGTGGGCTCGTCCGGCCGGGGGCGTGGCGGTTTGAAGCTTGGCGGGTTTTCGCGCTCACCTGGCGCCGTCCCTTGTCTCTCTTTCTCCCTCTTTCCTTCTCTCTCTCTTTCTTCCTTCCTTTCCCCGGTTGGCCATGCCCTGCTCAAAAGAGACCCCCGCCAGCTCCCCCTGCAAGCGGACTCGACCTGCTAAGGAGGGCAACATGCGGCTGCGCTTTGTGAGGCTCTCCGAGCACGCCACGACCCCGACCCGGGGGTCGGCGCGCGCCGCAGGCTACGACCTGTACAGGTGGGTGAGTAGGGGACCACCCCCCTCACACAGACACACAGACACAGACACACACACAGACACAGACACCCCCCCCCCCGGGATCCGGGGCCTAGCCCGAGCCAGTCAAGCATCTTTGAAGTCGTCGCTTTTTAGCCTAAACTCACAATAGGGACCCCGCAGGTAAATACCCATCAGATGGCCCGGGTGTTGTTTAGCAGTATTGATCCCCACCCTTTTGCCAAGTGGAAGGCAGAGACGACCTGGCTCGTCTCGGCCTTCGGAGGAGCTGACCCAAGGCTGATCAGGTGTACTGAATTAGAAAAGTCAAAATGGTTTCTACAAAGGTTTGAAGAAGGCCGATTCTGACTGAAAGGGTTGCTTAACTATACATCTGTTAGGCCCAAGGTTTGTTAGGGTCACATGATGAAATACAGGAATGCCAGTGTAGTACCATCCTTTAATTACTTAGAACTTTCTAACTATCAAACTTTTGATCACATGTGCTGCCTAATGTAATTTTCACAATCAGATTAGCATGTTTTTTTTAACAGGTGAGGGAGTTTGTCAGCAAATTAATTGATTTGCCCAAGGGAAATTTGAATGTGATGTAGGTTTTTTTAACTTGGAATTTATTCTTTTCACCTGTTTATTGTGCCCAGTTGTTGACCTTTAAGTGAAAAACAATCTTGGGATTAGGGATTTCAAGCATCCCAGATAATTTAAATGTGAGCCTACTGGCCTAAATTGTACATTCTGGGAAGGGCAGAAAGAACTGAGAGAGATAGTAACTGAAAAAGAAAAGTAAGTTAGAGAGTGTTGTAACTGACAGGGATAGTAGTCTAGAAGGATAAAAGATTGATGGAGTTTGACAAGACCCTTCCAAAGTATTATGTCTGGGCATTGTAAGTGTTGGGGGAAATTTTGACTTGATAATTTTAGGCATTCATCCTCCCAATAAAATTGATAGGATTTTTTTAATAAAATAGAGTGACTTAAGATGTCTAAAGTAACTTGCAGTTTTATAAAATCTTTGTGTGTGTTTTGTTTTTTGTTGTTGGTCGTAGGGCCTGAACTCAGGGCCTGGGCACTGGCTCTCAGCTCTTCAGTTCAAGGCTAGTGCTCTACTACTTGAGCCATAGCACCACTTCTGGCTTTTTCTGCTTATATAGTGCTGAGGAATCAAACCCAGGGCCTCATGCATGCAAGACTAGCACTCTACCACTGAGCCACTTTCCCAGCCTCCCCCTCTTTTTTTTTTTGGTCGGTCGTGGGGCTTGAATTCTAGGCCTGGGCTGTCTGTCCTTGGGTTGTTCAGCACAAGGCAAGTGCTCTACCACTTGAGCAACACTTCGGGTTTTCTAGTGGTCTATTGGAAATAAGGGTCTCATGGACTTTCCTGCCCAGGCTGGCTTTGAACCGCAATCCTCAGATCTCAGCCTCCTGAGTAGCTAGGATTACAGGCGTGAGCCACTGGCACCTGGCCCCCTTTGTATGTATGTTTGTTTTTGTCCCGTTGGCCCCCTTTATATTTATTTATTTATTTATTGTTTTTGTCCCGTCGTGGGGCCTAAACTCTGGGCCTGGGTGCTGTCCCTCAGCTCTTCAGCTCAAGGCTAGCGCTCTACCACTTGAGCCACAGCGCCACTTCCGGCTTTTTTTTTTTTTTGCTATATGGTGCTGAGGAATCGAACCCAGGGCCTCATGCATGCAATTCAAGCGCTCTACCATTGAGCCACCTTCCCACCCCTCCCCTTTGTTTTTATCAAGTGAGCTATGGTGATATCCCAGCAGCATGTTAGAAGTGTTGACATCTCTCCCTCTATCATAAAATTCACAAAGAATTATTTTGTCTAAAAAAGTCCTTTTTTGTAAATATCTACTCGGCTTTCAAACTTCATATAAATTGGAAACTCACCAAAGTATGAGTTATTTTATGATCTGTATTTAAAAGAATAATGTATACATTGTTACAGAAAAGAGTAAAAGTACATAAATATCAATTGTTTTCTTTAATATCTTAGTGCTTATGATTATACAATACCACCTATGGAGAAAGCCCTTGTGAAGACGGACATTCAGATAGCTCTTCCTTCTGGGTGCTATGGAAGAGTAGGTAAGTAACTTAAGAAATAAATAGGATGAAATAACAGGTTATTGCAAGAACTGTGTCCTAAGATAATAGTACTGTCTCTAAGGGGCTCATGATATTTGCTTTTGCTAACCTCCGCAATACTGGTTTTGTTTTGTTTTTTGTTTTGTCAGTCGTAGGGCTTGAACCCTAGGCCTGGGCGCTGTCCCTAAGCTCTTCAGCTCAAGGAGAGTGCTCTACCACTTGAGCCACAGTGCCACTTGTGGGTTTCTCGTGGTTAATTGGAGATAAGAGTTACATGGACTTTCTGCTTGGGCTGGCTTTGAACTGCAGTCCTCAGATCTCAGCTTCCTGAGTAGCTAGGATTACAGGCGTGAGCCACTGGCATCTGGCTCAATACTGGGGTTTGAACTTGCTCTCCTTTTTGCTAGACAGGCACTGAGCGACCTGACCCACATCCCTAACCCTTTTTGGCTTTTCTTGTTTATTACTGTAGCTTCCTCCTTAATAAAAACTTCCAACAAACACAATTGGAAATTACTCTGGAGACTTTACTCATGCTTTTTAAGGCTCAACACATTGGCCGAAGAGGTTGGGCTAAATGCCTTAGAAAAACTGAAAATTAAGGTAATTTTAATTGGTGCTTGTACCATTGGCTCTGCCCTGCAAGAATTAGATTGTATGTAAGATCATATTCTCTCTTTGTTTATATCAAGAATAGTTTTGTTATTTTATAGTAAGAATAGAACTCCACTAGGTGTGAGTGGTTCCTGCCTGCAATCCTAGATAACTTGAGAGGCTTGAGATCAGGTGGTTGAAATTCGAAGCCAATATGATCAGCAAAGTCCTGGGGGCTAGAATCATGGCTCAAGTAGTAGAGCTTAGAAAAGCCAAGTTGAGAGTGCAAGATCCTGAGTTCAAGGCCTGTACTGTACCATACAAAGTAAAACTAAATTTTAACCCATTGAACCTTGTCTTGTTCAGTATTTTCTCTCCCATTGGATAAAAAGGGACATTTCAGTTGTCTAGAGGAGAAATAGCTCTTATATAATGGGAAGAGCTAGGACAAAATGAACTGCAAGTCAGCAGGTTTGACTTTTCTGGGAAAACCACTGTTACCAGAGAGTGAATTTAAAGCTTGTAAAGAGCATAATATAGGTAGCTATCAGACTAAACATGAAGAGAAAAGTGAAACGGTGAGTCCTTCTAGGAGAGTGACTTACCAGCTATGTGTGGAAGAAACACTTTGGCCATATAGGGCAATGTAGCTCCCAGACCATGGAGGGCGTTTCATTTGGTCCAACCAAGGCAACTGCAGATGGGTCAGCAAATTGAGCTTTTTTCATAAAATCTATCATAATCACATAAACTTTGAGGATGAACAAAGACTATCCAGAAAAAAAAATTGGGCACTTGCCTGGTCCCTTTAACATCATTGACTATATTTTTAGGGTGGGGAAAGATCAAGGGATGGAATGTAAAAGTCAAGGCAAGAGGTAGCATTTATTGTCGAAGTTCCTACTTTTCTAAAACACAGGCTTTCTTATTTCATAGTGATAAATGTATTCAGAATGTTCTGTTTAAATTAGCATGAAGAAAGAGATGCTAAAAGAGTATCATACCTAAATTGCATCACTTATATCTATATTGCCCTTCTCCACTTAAAATAGCATTTTTTTTTTTTTAGCTCCACGTTCTGGCTTGGCTGCAAAACACTTCATTGATGTAGGAGGTAATATTTTTACTGTTGTAGTTGATAAATGTGATTAGTCCTTAAAAATGTACATATTCACATGGCAGATTTTATTATATCTTGCTTTAGAGTTTTAATCTGAAGTAATAAGACAGTTTAAATATATAGTTTATATACTATTTGGTAACATCCTATTTTTAGTCATTTTGTAAGGTTTGTATTAATCAGATAACGACACTAAGAAAAGATTTTTAACTTGGTGTAGTGATAATCTATACTTCTATCAAATTTAATTTTGACTCAGATAAATCGATATGCAAAATTCTCTTGTGACTTTTTATGCAGCTACTTTAGGAGGATTTTAAGATGATGAAACTTGTTCAGTGGTGAGAAAGTTGTTTTATGTTCAAAACTGGAGTATATACATCTGATTTCTACCTCTTTTTTCCTTAGACTGCAATTAAAGATGGAGATTACCATTCCTATATCCCTTCAGTATTGTCCAGAATCTGCTGGGTCTTTGTGCTACTGCAGTGGTTAAAAGAACCTACTAACCCCTGGCTGTCTTAATCTAACGTTTTGGAAGGGTCTTTGTGTCACCCCATGGTGTCACTAGGTGGTGCTGTGGTACAAGACAGAAGGCCAATCGCAGTTCTTCAGTTTTTGTTTTTTTCTTTTTAATAGCAAGGATTGTTTTTGACAGCCTGTAATTGGGTTGAGTCCCTGAACAGTATTCTCAGAAATACTTCATGTGGTCATTTGGCATGCATTTAATAGTCTACCTTAAGAATATGAAAGACTGTATATATTTTGAATGCAATTTCAAAGGATTATGAAAGGAATATTGACTCGGAGCTTTAGTTTCCTTAACCGTACAAATAGATACTAGTGTGCCTACCTCTGAAGGGTGGAAGGATGAAATGATAGTGTATGTAAAAAGCATCTGACACATCACATGTTTAATGATACATGTCTTAGGGACTTGACTTTTTTAATGTGGAAACATTTTTTCCTACCCCGATTTTGTTACTAATTTTAGCAACTTTTTGGGAAAAAAATTTAATTGGAAAGTTAGGTTGCTTGATGTATGGTATGGGGTTATTCATAAAATCACATTGTGGTATGTTTTTGAATGCAAAGTATCTTAATAATGTCGCAGGTATAAGTTTATTATAGTTGGCAATGTTTTTTTTTTTTCCTGAAGAGACACTGTTAGAAATCTTAAGCTGTAAATAAGGGTCAAAGGGAAAAGTTGAGTATGCAGGATTCTGTTCAGAATTCACATCTGGTAGGTGTGGATAGTTTTCACTAAAGGTTTCCAACAAATGACATGCCAAAGTCTTGGAACTTTTGCCTGAAGTCAGTTAATCACTCTGCCAGTTCCAATGCATGATTTTTCCAATGATAACTTCAAGACACTTGAAGTTTTCTCTGAAGAAAACTATCCCTGATGCTTGTGTCTTTTATGCAGGAAAAGAATAAGTCTTAGATGATTCTCAAAACACAAATGACAGTTTAGTAAATGTATTTGGAACTGTTGAATTTTGCATACCGTAAGCACTCATACTTAAGAAATAGGTTTCAGTTGAAGATCTCTTTTTCTGCCATGCATTTTCATTGGCTCCAGTTTTATCTTTAGTCAAAGGCTTTTTTACATTTTTGTGTTCCACGCATAAAATCTTAGTAGATTATTTGGCCCTGTAGGATTCAAGATCTACAGCTAGTAGAGCACCCCAGACAAGAGTGTGTTACAAATACATAGCAGAAGCCTTTGCGAAAAGGGAGATTTTTGTAAGGTTGAAAATACCATAATGTTCAGAATATTTGCAGCTTTGTGTTGGTGGCTCATACCTGTAATATTAGTCTGTAGGCTGAGACCTAGCATGTCATAGTTTGCAATCATCCCAGGCAGAAAAGTCTGTGAGACTCCCATCTCCAATTAACCAGCTAAAAGCTAGACTGGAGGCATGACTGAGGTGATAGCTTTGAGCAGGCAAGGGTATGGCCTCCTAATTTAAGCCCAGGTACAGGCAAAATAATAATGATAGCAATGGTATATATTCCACATTTTCTGTCTGAAAAGAATGGCCAAGGTTTATGTGTGTATATTAATCTAAAAGGCTGTCTCTAATATTTTTAGTGAAAAAAGTAATATGTAAACTTAATTGTAAAATGTTGTCTCTCAAATGGTTAACTTAAATTTTTCTTAAAGTAGAAACAAAAAAGCCTGGAAGGGGCTGGGAAAGTGGCTCAGTGGTAGAGCGCTTGCCTTGCATGCATGAGGCCCTGGGTTCGATTCCTCAGTACCACATAAGCAAAAAGAAAAAAGCCGGGAGTGGCACTACGGCTCAAGTAGTAGAGTGCTAGCCTTGAGCTGAAGAGCTGAGGGACAGCGCCCAGGCCCAGCATTCAGGCCCCCCCCCCCCAAAAAAAAGGCTAGAAATCAAGCTACGTCGTCTTTTTCAAACTTACTTGAGCTTCTGCCTCAAATTCTCCAGCCTTCTGTGGTCCTTTGTTCCAGCACAATATGGTACAGAAGGTTTGCTCTCTTAAATCTAAGCTAAACCATACCTGCAGTCAAAACTTGCTTGGTATAAGTAACATGGAGACAAGTGGTCCCTTTTTTCTATCAGTTTTCCTAAGTGTTAAGGACTAAAATAATGGACAGTTCACAGTGAAGGAAGAAAGGTTTCCTTGAATTTGCCCAAGTTTTATTGCCTTATTGCTGTCATTCAGTCCAGATATGAGATGAATTGCATTAGCTGCTTTCTAGACTGTATAGCAGGCTTCAAGGCTTGTAATCAGCCTGGTTTTCCACCTTCGTGAGAAAATGGAGATAGGATGTAGTTTGAATTACCTTTGTTCTAAGTAATTTTTTTGTATGGCCTTAAGATAATTTGGAGTATGGCCAACCAGCCTGAGTACCCATTGAGCTGGATTCTTGACTATTATTTTCTTGGAAGATAAGAGTGCTAATAAGGATAAGTCAGATATGAAGTAGAGCTATATTGTTTATATGTATCTCATTCAGTTTTTTTACAAACCAAGCAGAAAGATGTAATTGGTATAGGGAGTGGGGTTCAGGAGTGGGTGACTTGATAACAGTTAATTTCTTTTTAAGGTACTAAAAGTATTCTAAAACAAGGTACTAAAAGTATTCTAAAACTGATTGTAGTGATGGTTGCACAACTTGAATATACTACAAAGTAATGGAGTACTTTAAATGGATGCATGATATGACAAGTCGCCATCTTTTTAAAAAAAATGAGCAGCTGGTGCACTTGTATTATATGTGCTTATGTTTGTGGAAGCTCGTTAAGTTCTCAACCCCCAAAAAGCAAGTCTAACAAGTCTGGTAGATTTCTGGGCCATAGCAGGGACTGGTTCAAATCTGCAAAGATCTGCTTTATCTTTGTTTATAATGTGAAAAAAGCTACTAACTGGACAATTAGAAGTTCACATTATTTATGAGTGTGCAGAAGTGTACCCATTGTAAAGCTTGAGAGGTAAGGTCCTCTAAGAGATCATGGTTTTGAAAAAAATTTGTGGTTCAAATTAAGACTGAAAAGTATAGCTTTTTTTTTTTTATGGAATATCCTGATACTTTCAAGACTGCTGATAAACAGTGTCAGCATTGACTTATTCCAATGTAGATCTTCAGACTTTTTGACATCTTTATAACTGTCATATTTCAATGAGAATATTAGTAAAAAGCTGCTACCAGGAAAAGTCCTTGAAGCCCAAATCATAATTTTTTCCTACTCTTGGCAAGTATGCCATGAGTAGACAGATTGGAGATAATTGCCACTCAGCAATTTGATAAGGGAGCCAAGTTAGAAAATGATCCATTTTCCAAATTCTTATTTGCACTCCAATAATGTCAGTGTTCTTTTCTTTTCTTTTTTTTGGGTCCAGTCTTGGGGCCTGAACTCTGGGCCTGGGCGCTGTCCCTCAGCTCTTCAGCTCAAGGCTAGCGCTCTACCACTTGAGCCACAGCACCACTTCTGGCTTTTTTTTTTTTTTTTTGCTTATGTGGTGCTGAGGAATCGAACCCAGGGCCTCAGGCATGCAAGGCAAGCGCTGTACCACTGAGCCACCTTCCCAGCCCTGTCAGTGTTCTTTTCATGCTGTACATAGTACCACCACAAGGTTTACTGGTTCATATGTAAGGATAAAATTTTCAGAGCTACAAAGAATAATCTAGGCTAGTGTTCTGGCTGCATAAATCAAGGTTAATAGAATTTTTCTTTTCTTCTAGCTGGTGTCATAGACGAAGATTATAGGGGAAATGTTGGTGTTATCTTGTTCAATTTTGGCAAAGAGAAGTTTGAAGGTATGTTAAATACATTCATTCACATAAGTGTACTGAATTTATTATGTGTCTGCAGCATTCCTCTAATCCTCATTGAGTGGGATAATATAGAAAATGCTTCAGAGAAATATCAGTAATTCACTTTTGTTTTTGCTTTCTTTCAAGTGAAAAAGGGTGATCGAATTGCTCAGCTCATTTGTGAGCAGATTTTTTATCCAGAAATTGAAGAAGTTCAAGTAAGTATCATAAGAATGGAGAATGAATATAACATAACAAATAACAAGAAGAAATGTCAGAAGATAATAGATGCTGTTTGTAACTAGATTGTGTATATGAATAATGCTATGGAAAGCAAAATTGAAATCTTTTGGATTTTCTTGGTTTTCAGGTAAATATATAGTATTTTTTTTGAATAGTAAATTACATAAATACACTATGAAATTCTGCCATTTTCTTAGCTCTTGAAAATTCTCCAGTATTCCAGTGTATGCATGCAGCCTTTTAAAATTTTTCTTCTTTTGGTAATCTCCTTGGTTTGGTTTTTGACAGTGTCTTGCTGTAGCCCAGGCTGGCATGGAACTTTTGATCTTGCAGCCTCAGCCTCCTGAATGCTGAGATTATGGGCATATGTCACCATGCAGGCCTGTAATCTCCCTTTTTAAAAGATGATATATAGCAGGGAATGAAAATCTTTTAGTAGGAGCTATGGAGAAGTAAAAAGACTAAAATTAACTCTGGCTTGCTATCTTTCTATCTTTTCAGGTCTTGGATGATACTGAAAGGGGTTCAGGAGGTTTTGGTTCTACTGGAAAGAATTAAAATTTGGGCCAAGAATAGAAAATGAAAAGGCATACTTTTTATTAAAAATAATAGGTTTTGCGTCAAGTGTTTTTGGTGTTTTGCACCATAGTAAACTTAATAGTTTTAACTTGTAAAAAATAGTTTATTTTCTTAATGATAGAAGGAAAGGTTACTTCTGTCGGGATTATATGGAAACTTATTTTGTGTTTCTGAAATTGCTAGTATGAAAATCTATCTGCTTTGTGAATACTTGACAAGTTTTAAAAAATCAGATGTACAATTTAATTCAATAAAGAGTATCTCGGTTCTGCTTTAATTGCTGTATGAATCATCAGTGCTTGAATCATAAATGAATTCTCTCACAGGTACACATTGAATAAGCTGAACTAAAAATAATCAAAACGATGTTTTCTTGTCAAATTTTCTTAGTAATATTAAGATTCTTTGTAAATAAGGGGAGAACCCTCAGCTTATTGTTGTGCTTTTTTTCTTAACATTGATACTCCTTTTGGTAACTTCTTGTTTGACTAAGTAGAGGCTTGTTTGTAAAAGGAAGTGTTATTTAGGAATTTCTGGTTAGTTGGTTCCTCTGAGTTTTAGCTCATCAGCCAAAGTATTAGTTGTACTTATCCAAGTTTCCCTTGCTGAAGTAACAATAAATAGGCCATGCCCAAGAAAATATTTAAGAGGAATAAAATGAATGACTTAATATTTTTTGGGTTATTCCATCCCAAGTACATAGCTTATTTGTAAGCAGATATACATTACAGGTATGGGACTGCTTTTGTGGATTTTCTTGACTAACATCTGCTGTAACTTTGTTAGTGTACTTTATGCTTACCAGACTCCTTTGTGCCAGTTTTTTTTTTTTTTTTTTGTGGGTCTTGGAGCTTGAACTCTGGGCTTAGGTGCTGTCCTTACGCTCTTCAGTTCAAGGCGAGCGTTCTACTGCTTGAGCCACAGTGCCACTTCCAGTTTTCTAGTGGTTTATTGGAAATAAAAGTCTCATGGACTTTCCTGCCCGGGCTGGCTTTGAAACGTGATCTTCAGATCTCAGCCTCCTCAGTAGCTACGATTAGAGGCATGAGCCACCAGCACCCAACTTGGGCCAGTTTTGAGTGCTTAAAGTTTCTTTATCAGGTGCCCTGTGGACTCCCAGCCATTGTTTGAGGGATGGAATATTGCTGGAACTGTTGATTGTGTTTGGTACAACTTAATCTTAGCTAGTGTAACAGTTGAATAAGAATACATATTATTAGGTGGCTACCAAGAGATGTACTCTTCAGTAAGACTTTATAATGTTTATCCTTTTTTTACAGTAGTTGGGATTTGAATACAGGACTTCATATTTGCAAGGAACCACTTGAACACACCCTCTTGAACTATGCCTCCAACCCTTTTAATCTAGGTATTTTTGAGAAAAGATCTTAGTATTTGCCTAGTCTGTCTGGACTGTGATCATTCTCTTTACACTTCTTTTCATAGCTGGAATGGCAGATAAATTACCACCATGCTTAGATTTTTCTGTTGTAATGAGGCCCCAAAAACTTTTTCTTAAGCTGGCCACAATTTTCTTCATCTGGGTTTCGCAAGTAGCTGGAATTACAGATGTGAGCATCATGTGATCTAAGGAGACAACTAGATGAAAACCTTGAGATAAGTAAAGTAGACTTGTTTTCTTGAGTCTTCTTGGTTGTACATGGCTCCAGATAACTAGACAGATGAGTGAAATGTCCTCTTCTACAGGCAGATTTTTCCCCACTAGAAAGGAAAACAAAAGCCTTGTTGACAATCTCCGTTTCACCTTACTGGAGAGGTACTGCAGCGTCATTTTCTATCTACTTATTTTTTAAGGTAAATAGGAGCACTGGCAGGCTAAGAAAGGTAAGCACCTGGAGTGTGCTGGTGAGGTGAAACTGTCAGCAGTTTCTGTTAGCAGAACTTCATGGTACAGAAGTTTGAAATCATGGACCAAAACTCAATTACAATACTGATGGTACAATAATTCAAAATTCAGGGAGTATAGAAAAAGGTTGCTTGGGCTGGGAAGTTGGCTCAGTGGTAGAGCACTTGCCTTGCATGCATGAGGCCCTGGGTTCGATTCCTCAGAATCACATAACCAAAAAGAAAAAAGCTGGAAGTGGTGCTGTGGCTCAAGTGGTAGAGTGCTAGCCTTGAGCTGAAGAGCTGAGGGACAGCGCCCAGGCCCAGAGGTCAGGCCCCATGACCGGACCAAAAAAAAAGAAAAAGGTTGCTTATAAAATCCATATGCAAATCTTAAGGCATGTACTCATTCTAGTAAAAATAATAATATCCCTGAGGAGATAGGCAAAGCTATTTTATCTTGGTTGTGAAAATTTTTTTTCTATAGTTGACCTGAGCTTTTTTAGCTGAGAAATACCCTTAGTATTCTATCCTATGAAGATAGGTGAAGAGGGAGGGATGCCTTATCAAAAGCCAAAATAAAATGTTGGAGTGAGTCTTTTCTAATTGGAGATGGATTATATTGTTGGTGTTTGATACTGCTTTTTTTTTCTTACCAAAAAGAATAAACACATGGGAAATAACATTTTGACTTGAAGAATCCTTTCAAGAATATGAACCCCAGGCACTAGTGGCTCATGCCTATAGTCCTAGCTATTCAGGAGACTGAGATCTGAGGATTGTGGATCAAAGCCAGCCTGGACAGGAAAAGCTGTGAGACTTATCTCCAATAAACATCAGAAAATGAAGTGGAGCTGTGGCTCAAGTGGTAGAGCACATGCCTTGAGCTGAAGAGCTGAGAGACAGCGCCCAAGCCCAGAGTTTTTCCCCATGACCGACAAAACCCCAACAAACTATAAATATATGAGATGAAGCTGAGTGCCAGTGGCTGAGGACTAATCCTCACTGTTCAGGAGGCTGAGATCTCAAGATCATAAAAGAGAACCTGGGCAAGAAAGTGAGTTTTTTTTTTTTTGTCTCTACTTAATCACCAAAGAGCCAGAAGTAGAACTGTGGATCAAGAGGTAAAGCTCCAGCTTTGAGGGAAAAATACTCAGAACAGCACCTAGACACCAAGTTCACACTCCAATACCTGCAAGCACATACAAAAAGTATGTGATGAAAAGCAATATATTGAACCAAGTACTCAATACATAAGAGTAAACCTAAACAAGGAGATGAAAAACTTACATGGTGAAAATACTAAAGAAAATTTGAAGATCCTAGAAGCCTCCTACGTTGATAGATTATCAGAATTAATACTGTAAAAATGTCTCACCAAAAGCAATCAAAAACTATAAGTTTAATATAAGCCCCATCAAAATTCCAATTTTTTTTTACGGGTATGGACAACTGTAAGATTCATGAGGAAGCATGAAAGAACCCCCCTTCTCCCCCAAGAAGCCAGAGGAATTGAGCAAAAGCAGTACTAAACAAAATACTTAATTTCAAATTACACCACAGAGTTAGAGTAACAACAGCATGGTACTGGCACAAGAATTGATATGTAGACCAGTAGGATAGAAGACCCAGAAGTAAGCCCACACAGTTAACAACCTGATTTTTGACAAAATGTGCAGAAAATACTAGGAAAAAGCTCCAGCAAATGGTGCTGGGAAAACTGAATATCCACATCTACAAACAAGCCTGTGCAAGATTCTCCCTGTACAAAAAGTAATTCAAAATGGATTAAAGATCTTAAGGTGCAACCTAAAACTTTTAACCTAGAAGAAAACACTTCAAGAATCAGACATAGGCATAGACTTATTTGAATCGCACTCTAGTAGTTTAGAAATAGATTGGCAAGTTACAGAAAATTAAGCTGTACAGCAAAAAAAGAGCAAAGTGGAGAGAAACAATGGGAGAAAACCTTTGTCACTTGATAATGACAATATACATAGTATTTGAGACTCAAAATTAATACATAGATTACAGAAGTCTCAATAGAAATATAAGTAGCCAGTAAATGTATGAAAAAAAGTTCATTTTATCTGTGAAAGAAAAATGCAAATTTAGACTACATTGAATTCCCATCTCATCCCAATCAGATGGACTATCATGGAAACAAGTTCTGGTGAGGATGTGTTGAAAGGAAATCCTCATATATTGTTAGTGCTCAGTCATGAAAGTCCTTGAAGAACTAGAAGCCAAGCATGACTGTTTCATGTTGGTAATTGCAGCTACCAGAACAACGGGTATGAGGACAGCTTGGGCAAAGGAGACCCCATGTCAACAAATAAGCTGGGCGTGGTGACATGTCATTCCAGCATGGTCCAAGTCATCCCTAGCAAAGTCAAGACTTTCCAAAAATAAGCAGAGGGGAAAAAACAGGCTAGGGCCATAGCTCAAGTGGTAAAGTGCTTGCTTCACAAGGCACAAAGCCCTGAGTTGAAACCTCATTGCCAGCCCTTGATGTCATACAATCCTGCTATATATAAGGGTATATTAGCCTAGGTATAAAAAGAGTCTGGCAGCATGCTATAGATTAAAGAGTCTGGCAGCATGCTATAGATTAAAGCATGCTTATTTTTATTGTAGGACTATTCACAATAGCTAAGTTTTGTGATCAGCCTTGATGCTCCTCACCATGAAGGGATGAAAAAATTGTGCATGTACACAAATGAGGTCTTGCCTAGCCATAGAGAGTAAAATGTGGGCTGGGAAGGTGGCTCAGTGGTAGAGCGCTTGCCCTGCATGCATGAGGCCCTGCCTGGGTTTGATTCCTCAGCACCACATACGCAAAGAGAAAAAGCCGGAAGTGGTGCTGTGGCTCAAGTGGTAGAGCGCTAGGCTTGAGCTGAGGAGCTGAGGGACAGCGCCCAGGCACAGAGTTCAGGCCCCACAACCGGACCCCCCCCCCCAAAAAAAGTAAAATGCTATTTGCACGATAATAGAATTGGAGGTCATGTTAAGGAAAATAGCTAGACTAAACTGCAAATTTTTTCATACATGGACTCTGGGTTTTTTTTTAATTACATGAAAGTACAATGGGCCTATTTGGAAGGGACCATCGTGAAGGGAAAGGTAGGAAAGAGGTGAAAGATATAATCAAAGTACAATGTATACATGTATGAA